CTAGTAATAGATAAAGTAGAGATACTGGTCCTCTTCTACTTTCTAGTAATAGATAAAGTAGAGATACTGGTCCTCTTCTACTTTCTATAGTAAAAGATAAAGTAGAGATACTGGTCCTCTTTTACTTTCTAGTAATAGATAAAGTAGAGATACTGGTCCTCTTCTACTTTCTATAGTAATAGATAAAGTAGAGAAACTGGTCCTCTTCTACTTTCTAGAAATAGATAAAGTAGAGATACTGGTCCTCTTCTACTTTCTAGAAATAGATAAAGTAGATAGGAGGTTCTTATTCTATAAATAAATCGAGATTAAGCCTTCTTTTTATGTTTATTAGGCAAAAATAATAAAAGAAAACGATAAATTTATAAATTATTAGCTGAAGTGCCCGGCGTTGCCAGTGGAATTTAAAAATCGAATTTTGAAAAAAAAATCTAATTCTTTTACCTTTGTTACCCAAAGGGATACCCAGGGTTCTTTAAAAAATGTCAGCACATTTGGTAAAGACCAGCTATAGCTCACATGTATATATATATATATATATACATATATAAAACATATATATATAAAACATACATAAATATAGATTAATGAGAGAAGAGCTTTATAATATAGATATCTTATTTTAAAGAAAAATAAAAACAAACTTTGATTTTAACAAAAAATTTACATATCTGAGTTTAAAGTGATAATAAAAGAATAAAAAAAGTGCTACTCTACTACATACTGGAATTATTTGGTTTGGATTTCAGATCTCCTTCTCCCATCTGCCGGGATCAGATAGCCAAACCAAACACCGTGGACTCATTTAGGGCTGGGAAACGTTTTGAAAATTAACTAATTCCGCCATGAACGGAAAAAATAGATTTTTTTATTTAAAACGAACTGGAAACACATTCATTAAATAGTTACAGGTAAGATCATGTGAAAAAATCTATGCGAATTTTGCAAAATATTTCTTTAAAACTAAAGATAAAATAAAATGCTTTATAGTTCTAAAATGTGCATGTCTTGGGCTACACAAAAGTATAAGTAAGTTTATAGTAAGAAAAGAAAATGTGTACAACATTTCATAGAAGCCTTGGTCAATGTGCACAGTACTATGGGTTCCTTCTGTATTTTATGTAATTTGTGTAATTTGTGTACTTTGTGTAATTTATGTACTTTGAGTACTTTGTGTACTTTGTATACTTTGCGTAATTTGCGTACTTTGTGTACTTCATGTACTATTAACTTGTGCTTCTCTGTATCGTTAATAAAAAACGGATTAAAAAGATAAAACAGTGCCCAGCCCTAGACTGAGGAGGGTCTGCAGGATTTCTCGCACGAAAAATATTTCAACTCTAGCTTACCATATAGAAACAATATAATAGGTCTCATTTAGCTACTACCATTTTTATAATGGGCTAGAAAGTGGGCTCAATCCTAGAATATGATAAACTAAAGGGACTGTCGGCGTAATCCTAAATGATCCTCCTTTTAAAGAGGGGGTTGTCCGATTTACGAAAAATTGTTCACTCTAAAATTTAGACCAAACATTGATATTATTTTGATATTATATCAAATCAAATAATGTATCTGGAATATTTGTTGAATCATTGTTGTGACAATCTAACTTGCAATTAAATGAATTCTTTTTAATTTATGTAAAAGTTCTTTTTTTGGTAATAATCAATAAATAATCAAAATTATGAAAAGTTATTTTATGTTTTAATATTTTTTAAACACTTAAAATTTGTGAATTATCTTTCACATTTTGTTCCTAATTTCTAAAAAAAAAAATTATATTTTTATTCAGAACAAAATGATTTGAAATTATTTTGAAAAATTTGATCTTCTATTGTGATAAGTATAAAGTTGTTGATGATGGTGGGAGGGTCTACCCCTTTTTAATCATGGATGCCAATTTCTGCAGCCAACCTTGAAAATTCATTCCTGCTAATATTGGTTAATATGTATAATACGAGAAATTAAAAATACAATTCATTTATTTGATATTTGTTTAAAATAATGAATTCTACATCATAAAGTTTTCTCTTACTTTGTGTTATTTTAAACATTTTTCTCTAAAATTATTTCAGGAAAATTTTGTTATGTAAATGCACTTTTGAAAAGAACACGTTTTAGCTCTACGATGAGACAGATAATAAACTCTAATTTGATCTTTTTAAGTACTTTTCGTCGGTATTCTTTTATTTTTGAATACTTTTAGAAAACTAAATGACGTAAATTCTCCCGCGAACTATAAAATCAACGAATTTGTTAATTTATGCATTAAGACCAAAATGCCAAAAATTGACTTTAAAAATCTTCCTTTCTCCTGAAGTAAATGAGATAAAAAAGTACATTAAATGTAAGATATTCCTACCCATATGTTACAGTGTACAGGGTGTCCCAATAAAAATGGGAATTAAGAGACGACTTGAATACCGTCTTTGAAAATTGATACATGGCATAATGTGCAATAAAAAATATTGAAGGTCTAATGAGCTTTCAAAAATATAGTCTAACCATGGTGATTGGGACACACTGTACCGTAAGTTTATTGGGACACACTGTACCACAAGTTTGTTGGGACACACTGTACCACAAGTTTATTGGGACACACTGTACCATAAGTTTATTGGGACACACTGTACCACAAGTTTATTGGGACACTCTGTACCATAAGTTTATTAGGACACACTGTACCATAGGTTTATTGAGACACATTATACCATAAGTTTATTGGGACACACTGTACCATAAGTTTATTGGGACACACTGTACCACAAGTTTATTGGGACACACTGTACAATAAGTTTATTAGGACACACTGTACCACAAGTTTATTGAGACACACTGTACCATAAGTTTATTGGGACACACTGTACCATAAGTTTATTGGGACACACTGTACCATAAGTTTATTGAGACCCACTGTACCATAAGTTTATTGGGACACACTGTACCACAAGTTTAATTAGACACACTGTACCACAAGTTTATTGGGACACAATGTACCATAAGTTTATTGGGACACACTGTACCACAAGTTTATTGGGACACACTGTACCACAAGTTTATTGGGACACACTTTATCATAAGTTTATTGGGACACACTGTACCACAAGTTTATTGGGATACACTGTATCATAAGTCTATTGGGACACACTGTACCATAAGTTTATTGGGACACACTGTACCATAAGTTTATTGGGACACACTGTACCATAAGTTTATTGGGACACACTGTACCACAAGTTTATTGAGACACACTGTACCATAAGTTTATTGGGACACACTGTATCATAAGTTTATTGGGACACACTGTACCATAAGTTTATTGGAACACACTGTACCATAAGTTTATTGGGACACACTGTACCACAAGTTTATTGAGACTTACTGTACCATAAGTTTATTGGGACACACCGTACCATAAGTTTATTGGGACACACTGTACCATAAGTTTATTGGGACACACTGTACCATAATTTTATTGGGGCACACTGTACCATAAGCTTACTTGGACCCACTGTACCATAAGTTTATTGGGACACACTGTACCATAAGTTTATTGGGGCACACTGTACCATAAGTTTATTGGGACACACTGTACCATGTTTATTGGGACACACTGTACCATAAGTTTAACTTGTGAAGCATCATTTAAATATTCATTCAGTTATACAATATGCCACAGTTCCTGGTATTTATATGAATTTAATTAATCCTATTGAATTCCATCACAAATTGTAAACCTAAAATTTTTTTCTAAAAAAACAGGCAATTTTATTAATTTTTTAAGTAGCTAAAAAGTTTAATTGGATTAGTACTTAAGGATTATCATTTCTTAACTATGAAAACTATAATAGCGAAAAGAATACAGCTAAATTTCTTTAAGAAAATTTAAAGCGCATTTATCGGCATTAAGACAGTTTATGGAACTTAAATTTTGTTCAGTGCTAGGCGATTTTATAAATAAATAAAGACTACTTTAAATGTCTTCTTCCATAATTTGTTCAGTTGATAGATACCAAAGACAATTATAAAAATATTATATTGGAGTCATATTATAGTAAAATTGATTTCAAAGTAAAATATGTTTGAGCAAAAGATTTTTTAAACAAAATAAACTGTAATAATAAGCCTTTAATATCATAATATAGTATATGAAAGACGACATTCAAAACTATTTATTAATTGTAGGACACCCTGTAGGAAAATGGGCTTAAAGAACGAAAATTTTTGAATTTCCATGTTAATAAATTCTAGCCACGCTCCCTCCCCTTCTTGAATCACTCATTACAGCAACTTCTTGAATTACTCATTACATCAACTTCTTGAATTACTCATTACAGCAACTTCTTGAATTACTCATTCCGGCAACTTCTTGAGTTCCTCATTACAGAAACTTCTTGAGTTCCTCGTTACAGCAACTTCTTGAATTCCTCCTTACATACAGCAACTTCTTGAATTTCTCATTACAGCATCTTCTTGAATTACTCATTACAGCAACTTCTTGAATCACTCATTACAGCAACTTCATGTAATTTTGTTTTCTGCAATAGCATGATTTTATTAAAATGAATTCCTATCAGTCGTCTTTAAAGGGAGTGTTCGCGAAAAATGAAAGGGCTTACGGCGAAGTGAACGACTCAATTGTGAAGAATGTAGCGTCCATACATGTTCAGAAAGTTGCAATTCAACTCTGATCGTAAAAAATCAATTTAATTTCAAACAAATCATTCAAATATTCGATATTTTTTCGACCCATTCGTTTATAGATAGTATTTCATATTTCATATACTCTTGCTAAATATACGCAATAAACCGCTTTATTTAATAATATATTTAACTCAGTATGAATTATACACTTCTCTTTCATTCAATCTTACATACAAGTTTATAGTTCAAAGTTTTAAAACATTCATTAATTCACCACATTTGTATCCTTTATTTACTAGCTTGTTGACTTTCAATCTTACATACAAGTTTATAGTTAAGTTTTAAAACATTCATTAATTCACCACATTTGTATCCTTTATTTACTAGCTTGTTGACTTCATTCATTCTTACATACAAGTTTATAGTTAAGTTTTAAAACATTCATTAATTCACCACATTTGTATCCTTCATTTACTAGCTTGTTGACTTCATTCATCAGAAGAGGCCCTGATGAAATGGCATAATTGAGCGGCGATTGTAAGATATAGCAATAAAAATAATAAACAATTATTATCATTGTTATAATTATTATATACTAAAATACATGACTACAATATGTATAAAATTCCACATAGTGTTTAAAAGTTACAATTTGACTAAAATTAATTCGAGTAAAACAAATACGTGGTCGAAACTAGTACAGTACACTGAACACGTGAACAGTACAAAAAGCTTTTTTAGAAAAAACGCGGGAAATTCATAAGATGAAAACGACTGGAAAGCGGCAGCGCTGGAATTGGTAAAATCCGGTAGAGTACATTTAACAAGTATACAGTTACACATCAGGTTTAAATTTTAAAACCCGAGAAATTCATTAAATGAAGACGACTGGCAAGGGGCAGTATTGGAACTGGTTAAAATCACAGGATAATTATTAAAATGATTTAAAATGATAAACACTGATTCTAATATCACATCTTGCTTGTAGCACTGGAACTGCTGATACCCTAAAACAATAAAAAATAATTAGCGATTAACATTTTAATGAAATATATAAAATACAGTGGTAGGCGATTATATCAATACAATTAAGACGAATTTCGAATTCAATTTTGATTTAAAAAAAACTGTTAAACAGCATGGATGCGCAAAAGCATAGAAGTCAAGAGAATTTATCAATTAAAAAGTTTCTCTTTTATTACTTGTAAACTTGTACAATCAAAACTTAAATAAAATCGTCTTCATAGTAGTGATGGAACCGCTTACCACCGTAGCTATACCTTGATCACAAAGTAATGATAAGAACATTGCAATATTTAAAATGAACAAACTTGTATTTCATTAACTATTCAATATTTGGACAGCATACTCATGTTACCAAAAAAAAACATAATTTGAAGAAGCTAAGAGCAATACATTACATATGCTGGTTCGAAAATTGTATTGCTATTCCAGATTTTACGACGACTTTACTTCGGGGATTTTCTATCGAATAACAAAACGACATTTACTTTCTTGAAGAAGACTACATTTACAAATGGAAGATGATATTTACCTTCTGGAAGAAGACTATATTTACTTTCTGAAAGAAGACGTTATTTACTTTCTGGAAGAAGACGATATTTACTTTCTGGAAGAAGACATTTACCTGGTCTGAGGAGGATAGGTTTCTATCTGGAATCCTATATGTGGGTAAACGGTTTGAGTTCCTGGTTGTTGACGAGGAATCGTCGTCTGTATTACTGGACGGCCCTCCTTCAAATCCCTAGAACAAGTTTTTGTAATAATAAGAATCAAACCCTTTACTACAATTAACCATTTCAACAAAATTTTAGACATCAAAAGCAATACACTGACACTTTCGTAAATCTTTATTTATGAATTTTTTTTTTTTAATAAGACAAACATTATCTATCTATAAATTTGGCTTGTCTGTCTGTTTGTCTGTCTTGGTGTCTGTCTGTCTGTTTGTATCCAATAAACGTCAAAACGGCTGAACCTATCGGGCCCAATTTTTTTGTGGGACATCTAAGGACCCCAGGGAAGGTTTATGAATGATCAAAATTTCAAATATTTGTCTACATAAAAATTCGATCTCCATTAAATTTTTTAAAATTTTGAAAATCCACGAAATTTTTTGTGAAAATCCGCTAATTTTTTTTCTTTTTGTTTTACGATGTACACAAAGAGAACATGTTCACAATTAATTTAGAAGATGGGCGCGAAGCGCCCTCTAAGGCTAGTACTAAAATATTTTAGAACTCACGACTTCACTTTTTTAATCAAACAGATCGGTTCAATTTATTTAAATATTTTGTCCAAAAAGGAAATGTAAATCCAACTTTTCGTCATATTTACCTGATTATCCAACCCTCCATTAGGCGTGAAGACCCTTTCTACAGTCTCCCCTGTAATCCTAGTCCCTGGTCTATGTTTCTCCTTGTTGTTGTTGTGCGGGTTAGATGCACCCAGGGTTTGCATCTTAGACTGCTTACGTTCACTAAATCAAGTTCAATAAGATAAATTAACATCAGATTTTATGAAAATGGGGGGCGGGGACTTCTTTCCCTTCCCCCCCCCCCACCCCTCTCAAAGTGAACAGTCTAGCCGATCAGTTTTATTTACGAGATAATTTTACTATAACAAAGTAAAATTAGAAAAACACATGCATGATCCGAGCCAGTTCGACATGTACTGCATGATCAGAGCCGGTTCGACATGTACTGCATGATCAGAGCCGGTTCAACATGTACTGCATGATCCGAACCGGTTCGACATGAACTTCATATAAATTTATAAATTTACTAGTACCATAAATTAATTAAAATAATAAATAGGACACGATAGTCTTTTCAAGATTTAGGGTTTTTGTTCACAATAACCATTGGGGCAGAAGCCCAAAGGAGTTACACGTAGTCGGCGTAGAACAGGCTCCCTCTGTCTTGTAATTCTACAGAGAACGAGCCACTCCTATCGTTATTTAATTTAATAATGGTACTAGTAGATTTATCAAAAAAATTAAAATATCTCTGATTCTGACCTGATAAGATTGTCCCTGGCGTGTTCTAGAGCTTTAATAGTTTCTCTACGCATTGGATGATGCTTTGCACCCAGGATAGGAGTTTCTAAACAAAATAGAGAATAAGATAATTCGTAAAACAAGTATTACCATTCAAACAAAACATGCTGCCATACTTTAAATTCAAACTACACTTTATCAATGAAATATGAAAAGCTTGGTCTTCTTATTTGTAAAACGATTCGTCTTATTCAAAAAAAATTCCCATTATTTATGATTTCAACACTCCCAATTATTATTGTAGTAAGTTGAAACTTCACAATCATCATCTACACCACTTATAATGTCCACAACAGAACGTATACAAGGAAATAAATTGAGTGGAAGTGACTCGGGGGGGGGGGGTTCTTTCAATATAAAAAATACCACTATTAACCTTTTAGATTTCAAATTCTGGATAAATTAAAGTAAATTGGACGTATGATTGAAATGTTATATCTTTTCAATCACTTTATTAAAGAGCTATTGAAAAGCTCTAGATTTAAATTTAAGGGGGTAAAAAAACTTTATATAAACAAAACTTGCCATTAACAAAATATTTGAGGTATTATGGTAGATTCTTCTAATAAAATTAAGCTTACGGTTAACTTTGTGCTCATTGTTGATTAGCGGATCTTCCTCCCCTGATAGCGCAAAGAATCGCTTCTTGAACGCAACGTCCAGGGTTCCAATCGCGCGCTTCTTCTGTCGAGTGCGCTCTAGATTGTGAATCGTTCTCCTAAAAATAGAGTATTTACTTATCTCATAGTTTGATCAGAGTTTAAAATGCAGGGTCAGTTGTAAGAGTAAAAATGGCAGTTTATAATATGTCAAATCAAATCACTATAGAAACTGAACAGAAACCATATCCTAGCAACCAGATGGTGTAGACATTGACAATTTCAGTTCAATGATGAGTTTGAAATATCAAAAGGTTTAAGGTTTGGGGCGAGTACCTTTTTATTGAAATAAATGGGACGGATGGTACGCTTGATCAAGGATTTAATGCAAGGAAAGTTATTTCGGAGGTGTACGCATCTTTTGTACTGCAGTGTACTGTCACTGGGCGGTAATGTAAACACAAGACGGATGTCGAAGCCTGACATGGGATCCATCTTTCACATAAATAATCAATGAAATATTCTGGTCATAGGAAACTATTTTGTGAATTATCAAAATTATCAAAATTCAATGCTTTTAACCTCCTCGGATACTAAACGAACACTGATGCATCTATTCTTGTTTACAAATTCTGCCCAGAGAGAACTGGTTTCAACATCTACGCAGAGTATATGCTACTGCAATTAACGTTCCTTGCATTACATTCTTGCGCTTGATAATCCAATAAAAGTTTACCTAGTTTGAAGCCTATTACTGGCGGCACTATCACTATCATATTCATCGTCCAGTCCCTTCAATCTCTGCATTTGTTTCACAATCTCAACTGCATTCTTCTCTATCAAGGCCTGTATAGAAGGGTCATTGAGTACATCGAGGTCCGTACGAAAAGGTCATGAAGCACATTGGTCATAGAGGTCAGTATGTAAAGGTCATGAAGTACATGTATAGGTCACAATAAATTTTAATAATGATAAAGGTCATGATGGTAAAGAGTACACGTAAAAAGGTCATTGGAATAATCCAAATCTGAAAAATGTTTAGTCTGCAAAACATTTTAGAAATCTTGTCGACTGCTTCAAAGGATAAGACTGTAAAGAGTGCTTGATAGCCTGTTTATGGCCTATCAAATGGTTTTGTAAAGAACTTAATAAATTAAAAGTTGCAGGGAATTCCGTACAGTCGTCTTTCAAATCTCATCCTTTGTGGGTAACCCTGTAGTTCAAAACATATTACTATTTAATCATAAAAACTGTTAGAAAAGAAAGATGACTACTGAGATAGAAACTAAATACTGACCTCATCAGAGAGAACATCCTCCTTAGCTTCACAGCAGTTTAGGTCAGTGGAGGCCAGAATATGAGAAATTGTACCAAACCTAAATACAAAAAATATTTATTGTCAAACAAAAACATAAAAAATATAAGAAAATTTTAGCAAAATAACCGTTCTTAAAAACTTTCGTTCTTCTGAATATCCTTTAAGACTTTAGTTTTCTGTCAAAAAACGAAAAATTATAAATAAATATTTTCAATGCGTTTAAACAAAAAATCATCAATTTTACCCTGAAAGCATTATTAATACACATAAAAAATTGAAGGGAGGAGGGGGGGGAATGAAATGATTTTACTAACCTATGGAACAGCATAGCAATAAACTGAATCACGACAATAGCGAAGAAGAAGAAAACTAGAACGATACCAATCGGCTCCAGGTGAAGGTATTCAGTGTGAACCAACAGCTAAAACAAAACAAAAATAAAATCTGATTTACAAAATACTTTTCAATAATTATGATTAGATTGAAAAAAAGTAAACATTAATCAGGAATCCCCTTTCAATGGTTAATTATTTGAAAGGGGATGTAAGCGTAATTTCAAGTGACCCTCCAGGCAAAGATGGCAATGCCTGATTTACAACTGTACTCTTTAAAGCTTTGTCTGATCAAGTATGAATTAAATATCAATGCTTGAATTTTGAAATTATTTTTTTTGTACCGTTGTGAATCGGACATTTAAAGTGAATGTTTTTAAAATGCGTTTACAATCCTTTTAATTCATAGAATACTCTTTTTATATTTGATTATCAAATAAAATTGCGCGGCAAGTAAGAACTACTCGATAATAGATGAAAACTACTCGATATTAGATGAAAACTACTCGATATTAGATGAAAACAACTCGATAATAGATGAAAACTACTCGATATTAGATGAAAACTTCTCGATATTAGATGAAAACTACTCGATAATAGATGAAAACTACTCAAATTAGATGAAAACTACTCGATATTAAATGAAAACTACTCGATAACTAATCGCTTTCTATATACCCCGATCTATGATATGTCATGATTTGTCAATTTTGAACGCTGTGTTAAAAAAAATAATGTGTTCATTATTTAAACAATATCATAAAGTCCCAAAAATGTTATACATTTTTAACAAGAAGAAACAATGCATTAAAGATAAAATCTTAACATTTAATTCCATGTTAAGTACAAAAGATAATCATGCGATCGTATATTTAGCATGGTTAAAATAACAAGAAATTGATAATAAAACTTTATCCTAAAAGTATAAGGATCAATCTAAAATTTATAAATTATAACAAAATTCATGAATTTATGAGAAAGAGCTCAAAACATGCGAAGTCTAGATGAGTAAAATGTATAAGAAATTATAGGGACTTTTGACATAATACTAAATTGACCCCAAAATGACCTTTATTAGATTAACAATGAAAAAGATAACAACTTTATTTTTCTGTCTGGAACAAACCGCAATTTAAAATAATCAACTTTAAGAAAAAAATGCTCTGAACACGGTTAACTTGATATTTAGACTAAGATTAATATGCATGATAAAAAAATGGGGAGGGGGTGCTAGTCGATGGCCATGATTGTAAAAATATAAAAAATGAACTGTCCCAGTTAATTACAGTCTTGCAATAGAATGTAAATTATTATTTGTAGTATAATAATAGCTTGGAAAATATAACAGTATATTTGTAGTATAATAATAGCTTGGAAAATATAACAGTATATTTGTAGTATAATAATAATAGCTTGGAAAATATAACAGTATATTTGTAGTATAATAATAGCTTGGAAAATATAACAGTATATCAAACTTATTCAAACATGACAGGACATTAAAAAAAAAAAAAATCTAAAACTGAATTTTAAAAATAACTTTTTGAATTTTTTTTTTTCGTTATTTAGAATAAACTGAGAAATGTACAATCATCGTCGTATATATCAATTCAATGAAGACAACTTTTGATCTAAATTTTTTATTTCTAACAATTGCTTTCAGATAGCATGGATACACATAAAACATGGAAACAAAGTCAAACTGTCAATTAACAACTTCTCCTTGTTTACTGATAAACATGTAATTTGAGAAAAAGCTTGTTAAAAATCCAAATTTAAGAAGTTAAGTCGTTTTTCTTTGTTTTGATATTAACGCTGACACTTTATTTACACTTTACAGCCTTTCAATTAGCCAAGGCAATTTGAAAAGCCAATCAGTCAAGGGGTTTATGAGTTCTGACTAATTATCATGTACAAAATTGATAGGTGGGGGGGGGGGTCCAAAAATCGTTCACTAGGACGGACCCACCAATCCATAAGAGGATCCGCATCCTGAAAACGTAATAAAAACATGGATCAGAAAAAAATTCAAATAATGTGACCACTCGGCTTAACTTTGAGAACAATTCGTCTTTGCCGCATAAGTCAACAAAAAGATGCAGTAAAGAATACCATGACGCAAAAATAAACGCAAACAATTATGAGAAATTGTACATTTTTGCAGAAACTATAGAATTCATGAATACAACACGAAAGGTCTCTGATGACATTACATTATTATACAAAAGCGTTCTTTTATTGGTTTCCTTTTATTCTTGATTCATGCTAAACATAATAAAGAATGTGGATAAAATGGATAGATTTGCTGATAAAAATGCCTATTGCCTAGGTTCCTTTAACAAAAAAATGTGTTTTTTCAGTCCCTTTAACCCAAATATGTTGTTTTAAAAATATTCCACCAGTATATTTAATCCAAAATTATGCTAAATACAGTCAATTTAATCCAAAAATATGCTAAATACAGTCCATTTAATATCCAAAAATATGCTAAAAACAGTCCCTTTAATAAAAAAATATGCTAAATACAGTCCCTTTAATCCAAAAATATGCTAAATACAGTCCCTTTAATCCAAAAATATGCTAAATACAGTCCATTTAATCCAAAAATATGCTACAAACAGTCTCTTTAATCCAAAAATATGCTACTTTACAGTCTCTTTAATTTAAAAAATGTTTAAGAAAGTTCCTTTTAACCAAAAATATGCTACAAATACTGAACCATTGCTTGAGTTATTAGACTAAATAATAAATACATTACACAATTCCTACATCATATAATAGCTGCAAATTATATACAGTCCCTTTAAACCCTGTCTAAGCCTGGAGCATATTTTAAAGTGAAGTAGAACTAAATATGTTGTTTGAAGAATGAACCATATTCAAACCAACCAGGCAGCCAGGCACATAGGCCTAGACCCAGGCCAAGGTCGAGAAATATAGTGCTTTAAACCCCCCCCCCCACATTCCCCACTAACCGGCATTTCCCCCTCTCTCACCTCCATTCATTCTTAAAGTTTGCTATATAGGATAGATATATAGTACTAGCACGACATGTTGATTACGCTATTAGGATACACCTTAGTTTTTACTCTTAGGATAATATTGAGAATTTAAAGAATTCACAGAAAATATAAAATATTCTTATTCAACTTTAAACACAGTTAAGTAAAAAGGTATACGTTAAAGGGACAGTAAAGGAAAAATGAAAGGGGGTATAGGATGAAAGCTGAAGTTCTCAGCTTTTGAACGATACCATAGAAGACATCTATCTGATGTTCCTGTCATTTTTCCTTTACTGTCCCTTTAAACACAAAGAAGTAAAAAGGTATACGTTAAACACAGAGAAGTATACAGATATACGTTAAACACAGAGAAGTAAAAAGGTATACGTTAAACACAGAGAAGTATATAGGTATACGTTAAACACAGAGAAGTAAAAAGGTATACGTTAAACACAGAGAAGTATATAGGTATACGTTAAACACTGAGAAGTATAAAGGTATACGTTAAAGGGCAATAAGAGTGATTTCAAGTGGCACTACCGTTTCATCACTTTACTCTTCAAACCTTTATCTGAACAATAATGTGGAAGATATCTCTTTGTAGTATAAATCACGTTTACAGAGAAATCACAATTAAAAATATAAATTTTCAGATGGTAAAATAAGAATACTTCATCCATCAAAAGCATCAAAGAGTACTGTTGTGAATACAATATGTCACTCTACAAACGGAGGGTTAATTAAATTTACTTTTAATTTCTTTCATATTTCAATTACCTGACCATCTTCAGTTAGTGTAATATTCTCCTTGGCGCCCCAGGGCCACTTGATGTAGAGGATATCCTTGTTGAGTGTCAACATGAACACGATCAACACGAACAACGCGTTGAACACGGAGAAGAAGAACACAGACTGGTTTCTCAGCTCCTTCAGGCCAGCGGTCAATTTTTCCTGAATAAAGGCAATTTTATAAACTAGTTTGATAGTTCAGGGCACTCATTGTTATCCCAGCCGTTTACCCGCGATTGGTCTTAATTACGATTTGACCTTTTTCAATAAACAAGTCGACCCACTCAACTTAGAATCTCAAAGACAGGATAAGAACATTCCTGTGGTTCTCTCGAGTTCCCCAACCAAATTTTGGAGCCAATCAGTCAAGGGGTTTATGAGTTCTGACTTAATATATTTTTATAGATATATAATAAAAAATATAATAAACTGAAGCTTCTCTGGTTGATTCTTTAATAATTAATAATATACAATATACATATAAAATAGCTGTAAGGTTGGGGGGATAGGATTTCCGTATATTTTACTCTGACGTATATGGATTACTCAGGAACTGGTTTACGGTAAATAAAGCAAAATTGGTAAGCAACTTGGACCATTTGTTTACAATCATATGTTATTGTTTTGATAATATTAGTTCCTTATACGTTATATCAACTATCTTGCTGTATCAGTAAGCGTATTTCTATTTTTTTTGCGCATTTATGCACAGTGCTCATGATCGCATTTTAACGAAATTTATTCAAGTTTATTGGGAATCATAGGAATTTTTGAGAATTGATTCTAACCCTGAATTAATTTTTCAGGAGTTGATTTTTATTTTGCTTTAACCCTTTTTGCAGTGAGTAAAGTTGCAAAATGATTTAGAATAACTGAAAAGCATTGGATAATACTGAAAAAAGGGGTATTTGCAATCCTAAATTTGAAAAATGGGTATTTGAAATTCTAAATCTGAAAAATGGGTATTTGCAATCATAAATCTTTGTCTTGATCGATAGATCCAGATTCTACGAGTTAAGAATAGAGATGGGCGTTCCTCAAGAACCCGTTCTTGGTCCGTTCTTATTCCAGGTTTGTTTTCCTTTGATACGATCAAACTGATGCACAATGTAGACAACAATACAACTCCATAAACGAAGGGGGAGGGGCGGATACAAGGCAACATATGGTGGTGGAAGGGTTTTAGGAGATATTAGCTCTAATACCCAACCTGATAATGCCAATCATAACAATCTTAGTACAGGGAATGCAAACAGTTATAAGATTTATTTAAAAACTTAAAAGTCAAAATGCAACAGCAAATAAATCTGAAACAGGACAAACTTTTCCACAGAATCCAAATTTAAACCCTAAAAAACTCAACTCAAATGTCCAAAACAAATTCCGATCTTATGAAACACCTTTGTCCTATCTTATAATCATGTAAAGTAATGTAAACTTGAACCTGAATTATTTGCAAATAAGAATTGCATCAAATTGCAAGAAACAGGTTTTGTAAATGGGTGTTGCAAATCTTTTTTTGTCATCCACCCCTTCAAGGGACTGTGGTTCTAATCTCAATTGTATCTCAATTCTGACAATTTACTCCTTTGTTACCTTACCGTAAATCCAAAGGTTGCTTTAGTACAGAAACCACAATTGTGAATAGTTTTTAAAGAGAAAAAATTGATATCTTATTTATTTTAAAATAAGGTTTACTGGCCCTTGTAACATGTCACCAACCCAACATTGGACAATTCACGGCATTTTGTAATTTTATGGTAAAATCCAATTTTGACTGTTTTTAGTGCTAGTTTGATGTTACTATAATACAAATTTTAACACATATTTGGCATTCTAAAAACATCTTAGGGGGATAATCTACAAATCAACATTATGCCTTTCCATAGTCGTACTCTAATATAACCTGTAAACAACTTAGCTTTTTATTTTTATTTTATATTTTACTTGAGGTCGTCACTCGTCGCGTTGTAGAGATCAGTCATAATATTATTTTAATTATTAAGTGTAATTTCAAGTGACCCTCCATGCAAAGATGAAGATGTCCGATTTACAACGGTACCTTTGAAAACTTAGTCTGAACAGGTATGACTGAGATATCAACGTTTTCGCTTCTTTTCATTTGTGGTTTCTCTGCCAACGTGACTTGCACATTATGGAGCAATGGAGAAACTCTCAGAAATCAACACTTTCCGAATCAGAAAAACGACAGTATCTTCCACATTTATTATCAGATTAAGGTTTCAAGGGTACCGTTGTAAATCGGGCATTGTCATCTTTCGATAGTGGTTAACTTGAAAAAAAACGCTTACAGTCCCTGTAAAGTATGGAATCTGCTAAAAAAATAATTATATTTCACCTGTTTCGCTTTGTCAGCATCCAGAGGATGCAGATATTTCTCAATCAAATCTTTCCAGAACGTGATCTCTGCTCCGGAGAGATAATCAACCTCTCCTCGGCCGAGATCCCGATCCTCAATCCAGAACGGGTTTATCAGATCATCTCTCTCCTCCTAAAACAAAGACGATATTTTAATTCTTGAAGCGCCATTTTAATAGTGCTCATTTTTAATATTTTATATATGCAAATTTTTCGTGATTAGTTTTTTTAAAGCTCTAAAACTACCTTAAACTCTTTAAATACTTCTATTTAAAGGTTTTAATTATTGTTTTAATTGTTTTAATTATTGCTTTTATTGACGTTCTTATTTTTAAATTATATGATTTGGCAGTGACAGATTGAAGTGTTTATAATACGGGAAGCCAAAGATGCAAAAACAAGTCTGAATAAAATCTGTTCAGTTTCTCCGAAGTCTCAACCTTGGTGGATAGCCCTGTAGAGTAAATTTACTTTCACAAATGACGAAATGATAAAAATACAATCGGGTATTGAACAAAATCAAATCAAAATGATTATCTGTTTAATACTTAATTTTGAATACATACTTCTAGTTTAAGTTAAATTCAAGCTTTAAGACTTATTTTATGAGGAAAAATGTTGTTCTTTTTTAACGCGTAAAATAATATGTTTTACAATTTATCTAAACAAAAAATTAAATTTTGTATCGTCATCTTCGTTAAAAATTTGGTGAAATCTTGAGATTCTAGTTCGGAGATTCCATACCTTAGGCTCAGTAGTCTGGGATGCATCTTCTTCAGTATCCATATCCATACTTTCCCCACCCTCTGACACAGCGTTCATAGGGTCCCCACGTAGAGACATCCTGCAGTCAACCATTTGATAATTTTAATTTTTAAATCTATTTTGCAAAAAATCTTAAATAAAATTGAGATAAGACAAGGCATGTGTCTATCTACTTTTAACCCCTAGAGGCGATTAGCATAAAATTTTATCATTTCTATCGATCTCTGAAGTTTAAATTAAAGACAATTCTTAGTATACCAAATACCAGAGGAAAGGTTAAGAAAAATCAACTGCTTGAATTCGCCCGCTTGGTTAAAAAATTAAATGTTATGATTTGTTATAATCAGATGATGAAAGACAAAGACATATTAACGCCGATTTGATCTCCAGAGCAACCCATATGGATGACCCCCCCCCCCTTTTCACTACAAAAAGGTCAGGAATTTGCCATAAAATAAATATGGAAGAGATGATAGGAATTTAAAATTTTGACGTTTTTAATGGAGATAATTCATCAAATGAATTCCTTGAGCTTTTTCTTCTCTGCTTGGGTCCAGATGTGCTGTGTGGGTCAATAACATTCTCTATGTGGTCTAGACGTTTTGTTAAGTTGTCCAAGGTATCTGCAATCCTGATCAACTGCTCCCTGTCCTGGGACTCCTTCTTGTGGGTGAACAGCATGACTCTCATGACATTACCAAGGGAGATATCCACTCCACCCTCATCATCCCCCTCGGCATCAGCTCCCTTGATCAGTCCCCAGATTCCTTCCTTCTTTGACTTCTTAGCACTTGCAGCAGCTTCTTTCCGTTCCTCGGCAAGTTCCTTTTTAGTTTTCTTAACAGCAACCTCCCTTGTTCCCCAGGAGACAACATTAAGGTTGGTGATACTGTAGATGATGAGGAGCAAGTACATAGATGGGATGCAGAGGAGGTAGATAAGACCAGGCACAACACACCAGAACTCCTGAGGATGGAGGCAAGCTGCTATGAAGAATGATCCCACCATTGCAATCAAGAAGATAGCAGATGGAGATCCAAGTCCATCCTCTCCCAACTGCAACGCAGTTCCCACTATCACAGCCATCATTATTAGGGCATAGAATGTGGACAAGAACTGGGATAACAGAAGCTGCCATTTAGCTTCACACAGGAGACATACAGCGACATAGATCACAATCGGGATTAGGTTGTACTGAAAAGATTGCCAGTTTCCTATCTTGAAAGCAGCGACAAATGCTCCTACCAACATAAGAAATATGGTTCCGGGTCCAATCACAGTTCCCATCATTAACATAGCTTGATACCATATATAGGGTAATGAGATATTGTCGTTTATCTTAACTGTTTTCTTGTAATCCATCAGAAGGTCAAAAATGTTGGCTATTGTTGAAGGCACCCAGCGTCTACGTTGATTGAAAAACTCACTAAACCCTTCAGGACAGTGGGTGTAGGCATCACTAGCAGCTGAGTACTCCACCCTATATCCTCTCTGCAATAACAGAGTACAGAGCCATCTGTCTTCACCTTGATCATACTGCACATAGTGGCGGGGCTCCTCAGACTTGGTAGTATATTTCTTCATCACATTGTCATCCATTAGTGCCTTAGCTCTGAAAAGGGAGAAACATCCTGGCGAGCACATAACACATCCAATCATATGTTCAGTTGCCTTTTGCAGCCAATGACCAATAGCGTACTCAAAGAGCTGATACCAGACCATAGGACCAGAACCGACAGGGTGAATACGCCCACAAGCAGCTCCAAGCATCTTATTTTTCTTCATCAAGTCAACAAGTAGGGTAACAGCATCCGGTTGGAAATCAATGTCTCCATCTAAGGTTAGTAAGTAGGTGTTTTCAGCCAGGATCTCTTTTCTATCTACGGAGATGGGGAGTTCCATAAGCTTGTGTCCGAGGAGGTAGTACATGTACATGCACTGAGACCAACGCTTCTTATGTCTAATCTTAGATTTGTCCTTCAAATGCACAATCATCTTAGTTTTTCCTGGTAAAGTGTAGATAAGTCGGCCTCCATACGGAGTGGGAACTTTCTTTGGTGGGCGTAGACGAATGTTGGTCATGTGGATATAGGATCCAGCCTCATCAACACAGGCAACAAAATCCCGTACAAACTGATTTACTTGATTCCAGTCATCACTGACATCAGAAAGTTCAAAAGCATCATCGAAGTAGATATGGGTCTCAAACTCATAATAGTCAGGGTCTACAACCTTAAGGTACTTTTGAGCCACCCTCCTTGCACTTTGGTCTTCATCCATTCTAAATAGTGATTTCATCATCTCCATCATCTCACTCTTGGTCTCATGCCACATAGTAGCACAAGCATAGATACGAGTGATGCTATCACTAGTTTTGGTTTTTGTATTGGATGGTTGACTTGACTCTGTGTGTATTGAAATAGTTTCATAATACTGAGATATATCATTATCCTCCATTCCAACCCTATCCAACTCAAGTTCTTCTGTCTTCACTTCCCCTTCATCATCTCTGCGTCTGTTGAGGCATAGAGATTGATCAATCAATAAACCACAGTACATGGGTGTAACAAACAACTTCTCTGTTGATGCCAATCTCTCACACTGTGGGGACCAGATATGCAGGGTTATCCATGTTTGTGAAAGAAGCCATATCAACCAGATCCAAGCATGCTCTTGAGAAATAAAGTTATCAAGAAAATCTCCCTTAGGGCACTGCCAGTACAGGTAGTCAGGTATTGTGTTCTGGAAGAAACAGGGATCTGCAGTTCTGAGTCCACATGCAGAAATGAGAAGGGATATAGCTACAGGAATGGTTAGGTTGACAGGGAATGCAAAGGAGAATCCCTGAATGCAGATTTTACAAGCAAACTTGCCAAAGATGTAGGCTAAGTAGGCTGCAACCACTTGTATCAGAAGGACATGAAATGGACTGTGTTTCCAGGACTCTATCTTAATGATCTCCTCCAATTGCTCCTGATAAGGAACATCAACAAGTACAGCAGACTGGTCCAGAACTCGGGTAACATTGTTCTTATGAACTCCAAACCCATCCTGGAACTTAGAGAACAGGGGTCCAATGGGGGACCCGTTGAGGTGTAGGAACAGAAGCATAGCAGAGAAAAACAGAGCCATCTTCCATGCAGAGATGAAAGAGTAGACAAAATATCTTGTTTTCTTCAATCTATCTTTTAGCTTCCCAAGAGTTTTAATGGGAGCAAGGGGAGAGCGCCGGTCAACAAAGTTCTCCCACCATCCTGCTGAGACTAAAAAGATTGCAATTGGTACTGTCCAGGTTGAGAAGTTGCCATTGTTCCCCTCTACCATTGGCCACATGAAGAACCCAGTGGCCTGAGCTGCAATGGCTATAATATCCATCACCGTCTTCAGTGCTCTGCGGGACTCCTTTTGGTGCCGGGATCCCAGTGCTGAAAAATAAAAGAATTTTAAATAAAATTCAACAAATGAAAGAAAATATTGATAAACTACAGAAAAGATATGATTCAAAATTGCAGGAAATTTAATCATAAAACTACTCAGAGTCCAGTTCCTAGTATACAATAAGAGAATGCACTGTTGCTGCAGTTACCAGGAGAAGGTTAAGGATGGATTAAGTATGTGCAAACATTCTTCAAACCATGGCGTGATTAATAATAAAGTTTGGGAAGAAATGACTCTGCCTGGGGTGTAATGATTGCAAACTAGATTTTAAATTGGTTCATGAATCATATATACCCTCCTTCCCCCCCCCCCCCTTCAGTGCTTCCTTTTATCCTTCTTCCATCCATCTTTTCTGTCCAAAACTTTTTCCAAGATCATTCCATCAATGATGCAACCCCCCGGCCCCCCCCTCCTACTTATTCAATGAAAATACACCTTGAAGTAAACAATGAACTTGATATATCTCAACTGAAAACCTTACTCTGACAGGTTTAGGGTTGAAAAATCTTCTGCAATTTTCAGATTGGATAACACATTAAGGCTAAATGCAATTTGTCCGGGGGTGTATTCAAGGTGGGGATCTATGTACCCCCCCCCCCCCCGACGGATAAATTTGCCCCTGAATGTGTCTTATGAAGATGTTAATATTTGTCCAAACCAAACCACAGAGTGGCGTGAGAATTGAGAAGAAAAAATGGCGGAATTATAATTTGCAATTATGTAAACCCATCATACGTGAAAATTGCAAGAAAAATTATTAAGTCTCTATGTAACCAATGTTCAGATTTAGGACTTAAGATTTATCAAGTAAAAAGATGGTGGCCTTGAAATATGACAAATCAAACTGGTGAAGATGAACTCAAAATGGAGGATCCTCTTTTGTGTTTATTTTCTTTATTTGGTTTTGAACGGCAGGGATGCTAGGGTAAATAAAAGAATCTCTAGTTTTATCTTGAACATTTCGGGGATTTTGATTGTGCGTCAAAAGTTATTGTGTTTGAAAGAATGCGTCACAGTATGAATGAGTATTCAACTGATTGAGAAAAATGACACAGAGGGTTTTATCTCAATGATTCTGCTTTTTATCACGATCCAGATAAAATGATTTTAATTAATTTCAGTGTTCATAACTTAATACGTCATTGAATCCAATGGATCGTTTAACACTATGAAGGCTGGTAGGTCTGAATCTTTGTATACCCTGGGGGGGACGCCCCCTAGAGGCCTTAAGAGTAAAGGAATTGGGTTTAAATGCATGTCCATAGCCCAATTTTACAATGTCAGCTTAATAAAAAATAAGCCCGCTAACTTCAATAGTTTAAGTGCTAGTGAGGTTTGAAAAAAATTTCAAAGAAAATTCGAAACAAATTTAAACATTTCTTTCTTCAGTTTGATAAATATTAAGATGTGACGCATTTTTCATGTACATTTTCAAGGGCTTCTCAAAAATGTAGTTTAGATCTGTAGCTTTAGTAACAAAAAAGTTATGGGCTATTTTATAAATTTTTTTTTAACACGGACCAGTTCTTTAACCGTTCTGCACTGTCAACAATGAGATCGAGTGCTAGCCCCCAGCCTGTTAAGGGTTAATGTTGATATTGCCAACTGTTGACTCCGTTTTATAATTTCAATGACATGACATAAAATTAAATCAATATGTTCATTAATGGCTGGATGTATTTCGACAGAAGGTGAAGGGTTCTAAATTGTAATCTTTTTTTGTGTTTAATCACGAACTCTGAAGTGTGTAGACAATTTCCAAAAGATAACAAAACTTATGAGGGGGGTGGGTTTTATTTACATTTGAAAGTGGCGTAATAGGATAGCTAAGGAACAAGTGAAAAACAGTAAAAAAATTGCCTAAAAAGCTTACTTATGTTTCCTAAAAAGGGGCAAAACGGCCGAGCCATAACAAAATCAAAATTATAGTTCCAGTGTTGTCTGATACGTCAAGAGAAGAAAGTAAACAATTTCCCTTTTTTGAAACAATAATTTCAAAATGAAAAGTAAAGGTACTTTCAAGTGTCCCTCCAAACAAAGATGATCAGACAAAGCTTTCAAGGGCGCTGTTGAATATTTAGCACACGGGCAGTCGTAGTACATTTGAATTTCCGAGCCGGGTCAACCTTTCCGGTTCCAGTTTGTACTGTACCTAGCTCTATGGACAGGACTAGTCGGTGCAACAAGGTTGATGCGGTCAGACTTTAGCTTCATATAGGTTGAATTTGCTTTTACTACAGGGGCAGATTTGCGTGGGCATTGCAATTTTTGCACAGAGGGGCACTTGAAATTACGCAAACAGACACTTTAAGTTCAAAATATCACCTAGAATTGCAGGAATAAAGGCAACACAATTCGTCAGCATCGCCCCCTTGACAACATCAAGGTCAGGTAGCACTACGAAGAAGAGTAGAGCCAGCCCAACCACGTGGAGGGATTCAAACACCCACACTACCAGGAAGTCGGAGAAGGACGACCTCCGGCAGGATTTAAAGATACAGATCCTACTCGATCGAATCAGGGTTCCTAAAAAAAAAACACCAGTCATTTAATCATAAAAATAATTTTTTTACTATCATACTAAGATCAAAGATCAGAAGAAAAAATTATAATGAAAATTGCATATCAAAGGAAAATTAGGGATTAGTAAGTAATTATTTGTTTATGAAATATCTCAAAACAATGCAAAAATTAAGTGTTTCAAGAGAAAATATTATAAAACCTCCAAAAATAGAGGTTGTGGGAATATTTCCTCAATTCTAAAAAACTGGTGGTGGATTGTTAGTATTTTTTGACGATGAACTAACAACTTTTAGAAATAAAATGATAGATTTATTTGTAATGTTAAAAAAATAGGCTTTATGGGTTGTGAAAAAGATATAGGTTCTACGCAAAAAGGTAATTTTTAAGCATCTTTTTAACTCGCGCCGTTTTTTTACATCGTTTATGTTTGATATCTTTTACTCTTTTTAATCTTTTTAGTCTTTTCTTTGTAAAATCGTCTTTGCTTTTTTCGATTTTTTGCAAACATAACATGTGTTAGAATTAAAAAAGATGTATATTAAAAACAATCAATAACAAATGATGTATACTTAAAATTGCAAGTTTATATATTGCAAAATAATAGAAAGAAATTGTAAAACTAAATAATACAAATGTAAATATTAAACCACAATTTAATTTTTTTACAATAAAGATAAGGTAAAACAACTAGCAAATAACAAAATGTAATATATTGAATTGGAACCGCAAATGAAAATAAAGAGAAGATAAAACAACTAGCAAATAACAAAATGTAAGATATTGAATTGGAACCGCAAATGAAGAAGTTAATGCAAACCATATAAAAAAGTTAAAAATACCTATTTCTGGGACAAGGAAAGCAAAGAATAGGCACCAGGTCCAAGCAACACGTTCTTCAGTGGAGATTTTTGCCTAAATTATTTAATTAAAACAAAATTGCCTTCAACTTTTGATAAAGGTTTTCAAGAGAGCTGACAACTCGCATTAATCTTTACAATTGAAAAGCTCTGATATCTAAAATTTATAATATTTGATCCAACAGAATTCTTAGTTCTTAATGTCAAAGGTTTCAAAAATATATAGAATATAAAATTATAGTTTGAGGCAAGTAATCGCTAATCAATAATCTGTGATCAGAACTGAAAACTCTTGTATTGGATACTGATCGCTTGATCTGACGATCCACTGTGGACAATTTTGATTTCTGCTTAATCCGGCCTTTTCCCTCTTTTTGGATATCCCTACCGGATTCCGACCAATGAGAGTTTTCTCCTTATTTGGGTTAAGAATTACAAATTTCCCGGCTTCTGATTGGCTGTTAGGGATTCTGCATACGCAACTTTCATTGGTTGAAGTTTGGACACTTTTATGAATACAGACTGAATATTAAATTAATCTTGAAATTTATAAAAAGAGGAGATCAAGCATTTATCTCAATATCCATAATTCTAAAGTTTTCAGCTCAGTTTCTTATGTAAAAATTAATGGTGTAAAAAATCTACGAACCACATAATTATATTGGCGCGCAATCTTGTGATTACAGTAAGGATAGGACCGGCCCAACGACAGCTGACTTGTCATAAAAAGCGTAGTTCCCTTTGTCACCACGCCGCACACTAGAACTACGATGAAGGTGAACATGTAGGCCACCACCTTCAAGATCTTGACCGTGATCCCCAACCACTTCTTCGACACCTCGGAGCTAATCAACAACCATTAGAAATAGAATCCAAATCCAAATTTTAATTTTAATTGTCAGCAAGTTTAAATTGCCGGGTAAATTTAAATAATAAAAATGGCAAATAGAGATATTTTTCATGTTTTTTTTTATATATTTAAAGATTTAACCACATAAATTGGCAGATTTTACAACATTAATAGGCATATTTTACCACATAAATAGGCAGATTTTACCACATTAATTGGCAGATTTTACCACATAAAATTGGCAATTTTACTACGTAAATAGGCAGATTTTACCACGTAAATAGGCAGATTTTACCATATAAATTGGCAGATTTCCCCACATAAATTGGCAGATTTTACCACATTATTAGTAGGCAAATTTTACCAAAAAAAATTGGCAGGTTAGTTTACTATAGATGGGACTCTTAACAAAATGAAAAAAAAAATAAATAAAATGTCGGTTGTTGCAGTTTCCTTGAATCTTGCTCCGGGGGGAGATCTCTGAAAACATCCCATCCCTTCTGCTCCATATAGCTCCGTTGACTGAACAATTAAAAAGATTAGTAAGTAAAAAAAAAAACATGTTAAAAGACTGTACGCGTAATTTCTAGTAACCCTCCATGCTCTTTATTGTTTAAAAGTGTTTAATTCTGATAATTCCCTTTTTCCCTGCAGTAGAAATATGCAAGTTACTTCTGTAGAGAAACTACAATTGAAAAAAAAATCAGTTTTCAAAATTAGAAACATAAATTTGTTTCATATTTGATCAGACAACGTTTGTAAGTGTACCGTTGTAAATCTTAAAGGGTTATTTGAAATTACACTTTCAGTTTCTTAGAATAAAATTTAACATAGATAAAAATCATTGCAAAAAATGAGAAAACATCATTCAAAACAAAATGAGGTTAACGAGTAAAAAAACAGTTAGTACCTACAAAGAGTAAAAAATATTTAAAAACTAAAAACTAAAAAGAGTACAACATACGGTACAGAGAATGAAGAATCAACTTTAAAAGTACAGAATACAGAGTACAGAGTCAGAGTACAGAGTACAGAGTACAGAGTAAAGAGTCAGAGTACAGAGTACAGAGTACAGAGTACAGAATTCAGAGTACACTATGCATATAAACATTGCTAGAAGGAACAAAGAAGTAATTTAAAAATGATTTCAAGAAATGTTGTAAACTCATTCTAATTCTAGAATTAGATATTGGATCATAACATAGTTCTTTGAATTCTAATTGAAGATTCAATTCAAATAACCTATTCAGGAGTTTATATCTTTTCTAATAGAACCTTAGTCCCCTCCTCCCTCCTCCCCCAAAAAAAGATGTAACGTTTTTTTATGTGCAGAATTTTAACTTTTGGAAAAATTAAAAATTACGTAGGAGGGATATCTTTATATCCCTTCTTAACCGAAATTTCAAAGATCGTTAAAACTAAAACTATCATTTCTATAGGGTATTAAATTTTTTTTGAAGAAATCTGCGAAAAATGCAAGACCAAATCCAAAAATTTTAAGAAAATATCTTCTTAGAAAAACTTGATATGTGCATAGCAATTATATTTTACACTTACTTTAGAATTTGAACAAGGTCACAAATTTAAATTTACAATTTAAGCTTTATGTTCATAAATATATACTAGCTCGGGAAAACGTCTTTGCCTAGAAACTAAACTTTCCCTTGAAATGTCAACCCACTCAACTTAAAACTTTGAAATGTCAACCCACTCAACTTAAAACTTTGAAATGTCAACCCACTCAACTTTAAACTTTGAAATGTCAACCCACTCAACTTAAAACTTTGAAATGTCAACCCACTCAACTTAAAACTTTGAAATGTCAACACACTCAACTTAAAACTTTGAAATGTCAACACACTCAACTTAAAACTTTGAAATGTCAACCCACTCAACTTAAAACTTTGAAATGTCAACACACTCAACTTAAAACTTTGAAATGTCAACCCACTTAACTTAAAACTTTCGAATTTTCAACCCACTCAACTTAAAACTTTCGAATTGTCAACCCACTCAACTTAAAACTTTCGAATTGTCAACCCACTCAACTTAAAACTTGATTTTTCCCACTCACTCAACTTAGAATCTCAAACCCGAGCTAAGAACATTCCCATGGTTAACCCGAGTTCCCGAATCAACATTTGAGACTAATCAGTCCAGGAGTTTTTTTTCACATTTCTTATCAAACTTTGATTTTACAATACATAAACGGCCTGACGCCTGAAGTAAAACTGAAACCAAAATTCGCCTTGAATTATTAATTTTTCCACTACAGCCATCTCTAATCTATGTTTCGGGTTGAAAAATACAATATTTCAACGATTAAGCTTATTTGTTCAATTTAAATCCTTTGTTTGGACTTTTAGCTTGGAATTTCTTTATTACTCATTGTAGCAACCCGACACAACGCCCAAATAAACCGGACTGTGTATATATATATATATACCCCCCCGGGATCCACGCCCCACAAAGCACATACAGGGTGTCACCACCAAACATGACAATAGTAAGACGATTTGAAAGTCGTCTTAGATCTTTGAATTTAATTGTGATATTCAGTCGGCAACCTACTTTAAATGTACGATTCTTTAAACAAAAACCAGAAAATTATTCTAGGTATTTCCAAAATGTGGTCTGTTTTTTGTGTGCTGTAAATGTTACTGGAGACATTAAGAATTTTGTTCAGTTTTCAATTTAGTTAAATTAAACCAAATTTGTCGAAATCTGAACTAAGTTCTTCATATCTTGACTTATATTGAGAGCACAAAAAAGGCAGACCACATTTTGGAAATGCCAAGACTTTGGGTATCTTGTGATTATTAACCTAGTAATTTAACTTCAAAAATTAAATTGACAAATAAATTCAGCAAATTATATAAAAAATTAAAGACGACCTTTAAGTCATGTTTCGTTGGGACACCCTGAGCTGTAAGTCCAACAACACCCCAACCCTGTTAAAACCACACCCGTCCAACTGACGGAGTAGATACACATTGAGAATTATTAGAAAAGTAATAATAATATCTTTAACATGTGTTCCGGACTACTATAGTTCATTTTAATCAAACTTGAATATATAAATTACTTAGTAAATTTTAAAATTATACTAATAAAAATTTTGTTTGGTGCATAATGTGTAAACAAATGACAAAAAATATAATTTCAATTTCATATCCAAAAAAATATAATTTTATAACTTTGGATGGCAGTATAAAAACTAAGTTATGGATGGCAGGTATAAACGTATATAATCTCGTGAAATTATAAACTTTCATTTATTTCAAGTATTATGATAAAAGAAACAATTGGGATTGAAAACGGAACCTGAATTTGTTCCAGACAGTCGATATCTCGATGTGAGCTGGGAGGAAAGGATGAAGGTCGAATTAAAGATTCGACATGGTTTAAATTTGAAATAAAAATGCCAAAGTTTAAAATTTTCGAAAGCTATACCCCCACCCAATTAAAAACATTTACCATGCAATCGTATATAACATAGATATACGTGACATGATTTAAACTGTTTTTTATAACACCAAACTAACCCCCATCAGAATTAACAGTGTTAAACGGGAAAAAGAATTACGAGGGGGGGCCACGGATTCCACCCCCCCCCCCCCCCCCCCCCCCCCCCCTGTCAACAATGTGCGGAAATAACTTCGGTCGCGCACCGATTCAAGTAAGAAGAACAACAGAATGATTCATTTAAACCAAAAGATTTTAATATTGAACCAGTTCTGGAATAAATTCATCAAAACTCTTTAATATTGAACCAGTTCTGAATTAAATTCTTAATATTGAACCAGTTCTGGAATAAATTCTTCAAAACTCTTATCATGACGCGTACATTTTTCGGATAAAGAATGGTTTTAAAAAGGGTCAAACCCCAGAGGGTTTTTAGGAATCCTGGAGGGTTTTTCAGAAATAATAGAGCCCAGGGAGCAGAGATCAATATAAAGATATTCTTTATCTCGACACTACCGTGAAAACATATCTATGTAAACATGACGTAGTGAAATACGATCTCATCTACTCCCAATTTTGTTCATTTTTAGAGCCTTAAGCCCCCCCCCCCTTTCACGCTTTTATAGTCCTGGCCGCCTTCATACAATATTTATACCGGAGTTAAAGAGTTGATTCAGAACGGGTCTATGTATTTATCTATCAGGAGCTCTGAGGGCAATGCACAGGAGCGTACAAAGGAATAAGTCCGGGGGGGGGAGGGGGCTTAAAAAATACTTTCAAAGGGGACTGAGCCCTTATAGCCCCGGACAGTGGACGCCTCTGGCAATACCTTCTCCTTAGAATTTACATTTTTTAAATTTAAAGTTGATCATATCTAAATGCTTTAAACTCCTTCTGATTCAACATATAAAACCTAAATATAAATGCTTTCATAAGCTTCTAATTGAGCCCTCCCCCCCCTGCCCCCTCCCCATAGATCTGAATCTAGCAAATCATGAGACCAATTAATATTATATATGTACTCCAACCTGTGTTCTAGTCTGATATTCACAAGGCAAATAAGTACAAAATCTAGTCTGATTTTTTTTATCATATCGTGTTTTGTTCAGAGGCAATGAGTGTATTTTTTGACGACATTCAGAACTATTGTTTAATCATCAAACTTGTTTTAAATTTGTAGCTACATTTGACTTTTTGAAAATGTATATGTATCTCATGCAAAAATCGTTGTGATTGATTTCTCCCCTTATGTTATAATTGAGAGCTTCTGATGTCTGAAGATTGCTTTAATCTAATAATCCAAAAACCCTCGCAGGCATAATTAATCTTAAACCTCCCATTATACCCATTACATTTTTAACACTATAGCAGAGTTTATTTATGTTCTTTTCTTGTAATAAAATATATATTTCTATGGGGGGGGGGGGAAGGGGAAGCAACCATCGGGTCCAAAAACTCCCTGATCCAAGGGGATTTGCCCCATAGCAGTCACCCTGAATTCCCTGAATACGCTTATAAGATGGTAAATGGATAGATAGATAGGTGGGTATTAAGGTCACATGACCTTGAAGTCTGCTCTACAAGCCCAAGACTAGGTTTTCAATCAAGAAATTGGATCAAAATTATCACTTTGCACTCAGTCCAGCTTATTAACAAGGATAAATGTTTAAACCGGTTTTAATAGTTTTTAAATCCGGTTTGAAACATATACTACTACAATAACCCCCCCCCCCTCCTTTCCTTCCTTGCTTGCTTGGCCGCATAGGAAATAGTCTAAACTATTTTCGTATAAATTGGACTTAAAGAAAACCTTTTTATACATTCGTTTTTAAAAATTACAAATCATTTTTAATTTGAGATTTATAAAAACATTTTTGTCGGACATCTCCCTAATTTCCTTGATTTTACCCTTAATTAAGACTTAAAACGGGTTTTAACGTCTTTTTTATGACACTTTGAACCATACGTATTGTGTGTAATGTATGTGTGTAAGATACGTATTGTGTGTAATGTGAATATAAAAACATCATTGGATTCAAAGATTTCTTTCAAGTTCT